TCATCTTCCACGAATAAAGATTGAAGTCGCAAGTTATGCAAGGATTGAAGAGGTAAAATTTTCTCCTCCTTGCTCCGAATCTATGGTTTCTCCCTCTCTCTCTGATTTCTCTGTCCGTTCTCTTGCTCGTTATCATCTCTCACTCTCGTCTCTTGCTTTCAGAGGCTTCTTGAGGATCTTTGTCTTCTCTAGTAGCTTATTGGTTCAAAAGAGTTCTCATTGAAGAGGTATGGCCTGAAATCCCTCAAGCCCTACTTCTCGATAAATAGGCAATTTCATGAATCAAACAGTATCTCGCACAACTTGATTATAAGATATATTGGGTGAAATTTGTTAGTAGAATTTGATAGATTATTAGTTAATAATGAATTCTTTGCCTAGTTGGTTACTGTCTTACTTGTTCTTTTTTTAATTTTTGTTTTCTATATTTTTATCTCGTCTTTTGCTTATTCACAGTTTGAATGTAATATTTGTTTCATGGCCTCATGGGTTTCAATTGAAAAATTAGGTTTGGGGTTGGGATTATTTCTGTATCCATATTATATTTTTAATTGATTAAATTGTTTGTGTAACTTGATTTTGATTTTCATTCAGTTGGTAAATAGGAGAAATTATTCGATGCTCGTGGAGCAATGGTAAATAGGCAAATTCAATTTAAATTTTTATGATTTTTTATTAGTCCAGATGAAAGGTAAAATTGAATTCATAAATTAAACTGTATCTAGCACAACTTGATAGTTTCTAGCATTGATTGTGCCCTATGTTGAGGTTGAGGTTGTTCACTTAGTAAGATGACACTGCCTTAATGAAATTCAATTTTATTTAATTTTGTGATAAGTACATCTATTAGGATAGATAAACAAGTGCTATAGTGGCTGTGTTTCCTTGGTGGAGGCTTGACCTGCATGCTCTTTGCTTTCCAAATTAAACCTTGCGGAAATTGAGCTGGATAGCAGCCTGAGTTTAGTGTTGCATGATATGTTGTCCTCTATCTCTATTCTCTTCTTGCTTCATTTTTTTCTTTTTTCTTTTTTCGTTTTTTATAAAATGTTTTGATAATATTTTCTTTTCCTTTGTCACGTTTTTATTAGGTAACGTAGGGAGACTCAAACTTTAGTCTGTTTATTAAGGTAATGTGACCTATGCAGCTGGGGTATCATTTTTTGCTTATTATTAGATTTTTTTTTTTAGTGTTTTTTTCTTTTTTACATTGGAAACTTAGTCCAAGTGTTTGTTAACTAGATTATTATTCAACAAATCCATTCATGTGTGCATGTGGTGCAATTGATGAATGTATTGTACAACCTAGATGTCATAGGATATTTTCAATTCCCACATTAAGTATATATGTGAACTGATGAATGTACTATAATCTTTAAGATTTTTGTTTGTTTGTTTTTTCCCTAATCAAAGATATTAGAAGTTTATTTTTCTTGTCTTTCTTCACAAGGAATTCTGATTGAAGCCTGATGGATTAGTTACATGTGGTTTAAGATTGCTGAGAATCGTCTTAATAATTCTATTTTTCAGGAACCACGTTAACCTTGTCGTGGCGATATATTCCCATTCTTTTTAGTTGTGCGGGTCCTTTAATTATTAAAAAGAGAAATCATTCTTGTTCCAATTTTAATTGTGAATTTTTTTTTTATAAATAATTTCTAGTAGTTGCCAGATATATTGAGGGCTATGACATTCTGATTCTTTTTCTATTTAATTATGTGGTTGTTGAATTGTCAGTTTTTACATGTATCTTCCAAGTGTATACATGGTTGACGTGTTGGTGTTAATGGGTTAGATGTCTTGCTTAGGATTGATGTGAAAATGTTCTGCTCATCTTCAATCTATTCATATGGATTAACATCATATAAAATTTTGAATTTGTTAAAAAGAAACTTGAATTTTGTTTGCATATTTATAGGTTTTCTTGTTTTGAGAAATTAGATTTGATTGAATGGTTGAATGACATAGAAGGGAGTTTTTTTCTTGGTCTTAAATGCGTGGGTTTACTCTGTTTTGAAAATTACTATATTTAAGTGAGAACAGATGATATTGGGTTTAGCCTTGTATTAAAATTTGTAAATAATATGAACAAGTATGGAAACAGAGAAACAAATTTGGAGATTGAATTGATTTGTAGTTGTATCCTATACATTATCTTACTGAAACTAAAAAGTTTGGTCATAGATGTTTAAAAACTTACTTACAAAGCACTTTTTTTTTCTTTTTTTCTTTTTTTCCATTTTGAACAGCAAGAAAACAATATTATTGAACTAAAAGGTGAAAACAAGGGGTGGACAAGATGCCCTTGTACAAAGTCGAGAGATCTACGACATCGGCTAACAAAAGACCTCGGTAACTAAGGTGACAATGACCTCGGCTAGGAAGGACAACACTTGACTAAGCTGTGCCACATCTTGGCCTAGATGCGCCACACCTCGGCCTAGGTCATACCAGTTCCAGGACGAGATCACTTGGGTGCAAGGTAACATCTCGGCTAATGTGGTCAAGGCAAGGACTGAGGTCGACAAGGGGTTTCAAGATACTAACGCTAGACTAAGGATGACCTCGGCATTGGAATAACGTCGGCTAGCATAACTCAGGCAAGGCGTGACCTAAGTTTCACATCAAGGAAGGAACAAGACAAGCATACTACACTTAGACAAATCACAAGGCTTTAAAACAAGGCATGGATCACACTTGCTTAAGCGGAACAAGTCACAAACATACACATGCAAACTTAACAAGTCATAATCATACAGATGCTCATGAACATGATGAGAACATAAAATGTGGATTCCTACAAGCGTCAACTAAAACATAAAATAAACCACCTAAGTAACAAACAGCAGCCCAATCCGTAGCAATCGAAATTCAAGGGTATGTCCTTGAAAGAGGGAGACACACAGGCCCATACTGACGTGAGATGCCTCACCTTATCCAACAGAGCATCAACTTTAGATTTCTTTTCATTAAAAATTCTATCATTTCTTTCCAATAAAATGGTCCAAAAGATAGCAAAGATAATGCAAGACTACAATGTTTCGACCTTCTTATTGCTTCCAAATCTACCATAGGAAACCAGCAAGAAAGCACATTTTCTTTATTTATTTATGTTGATTTCAAATTGAGGATGCATATACTTTGGAAAGGTTGACGGATTGATATGGACTATAGGAAATCCAATAGGAATTTGCATTTGGCTTTTAGAAAAACTAATAGGCAATGATTTAATGAATGGTATGGGCACATTGAGCTAAACTGTCGAAAGAGTTTGTGTACTTGGCCCCCAAGTGATTACTCTTTTGGTTGGTGCAGTGCTTGTCTAGTTGCATGTGTGTAGAAATTTATAAGACACATGTTATATAAATCTCTGAGTGCATTTTGCTGTATTACAGTACTGCTATTTTCATTTGATTATTTGAACTTGTTTTTTTTTAACTATTAGCCTTGTTCTACATTGTATAGTGTTTTATCATGCTGCTTGATTTTTACATCAAAGTATAAGTTTAAGACCATACCTACTATTCTGGAAAGAAGATAAACAATAGTATTTTGGTTGGTCTCTATTATTAGTTGGGTTTTTTTTCATATGAAGAGCTTCTTTCCTTTATGACTGTTACCTACCTTTCAGTTTGTTTGTTAAATTGTGTACGGCAACAATTATGTTTGAAATTTTGATTTGTTTGCAGAGTCCTTTCTAGAGACCTGCCGAATACAAGAGATCTAGATTGTCGGGGAACCGCAAGATGGTGAATCATGCCTCCAGTGATGTATTATTATCTGGGGTCACTGTCAATTTTATAGTTTTTATTTTTATTTTTTTATGTTAGTGTAGATCAAAAGGATAGTGTTTCTAAGGGAAAGAAATCTAGTTATGAATGTTGTTGCCAGTTTAGCACAATTGTTAAAATGTTGCAAAACGATATTGCACAACTTGGATTCAGTCTAAGTTATCATTTTGTAATTATGCAATGCAGATGATTGAGTTCGTTTATTTGATCTAAAGCATTATGCGCAATGTTCTCCAAATAATCTTTCTTTATTAGCTTTGGTTGGTCCATTAATTTGAAGGATGATCCACACGAGGAAATTATTCCCAAAGAAAAAAATTTGCAACAACAGAAAATAAGAAAACTTTAAAACTCGCCAACAAAACTATGATCCTCACCATTAGAGGAGCGATTTTGTGAAGTGAAGCCAAATTTTTGGCTTTGGCAAGGCATTTGATAGAACCATTGGAGTTGCTCTTATTGAGGTTATACAAGTTTGGTTAGTTGGCCAATCCAAAAGTAATAACCCTTAGGTATCAAAAGCAAAATGCATTCAGTTTTGAACCGAAAAAAAAAAATTGAAAAGGAAAAAAGATATAGGGCTAATTTATAAATTTAAAAAAAAAAATAGCTAATAATGGTAATTCCCAATATAAATGTAGAAATCATTCCAAAGATAAAATTTTGCAATAGTAAGAAATAAGATAACTTTAAATACAATGACAGAACCTAAAGGTACCTCACTCACTAACAAAACTGTGCTCCTCACCATCAGAGTGATTTTATGAACTGAAGCCAATTTTTTTTTGCTTTGGCAAGGCATTTGGCAGAACTATTAGAGTTGCTCTCATTGAGGTTATACAAGTTTGGCCAACTGGCCAATCCAAAAGTAATACACATTTGGTATCAAAAGCAAAATGCATTAAGTTTTGAACCCCCAAAAAAAAAAAAAATGAAAAAGAAAAAAGATATAGGGCTAATTTATTTATTTAAAAAAAAAAAAAAAACCCTAGCTAATAATGGCACTTCCCAATATAAAGATTGGTGCAATTTATTATTCTTTATTTTCAAATCTATGTTTCAACTGTTTAGTGCAATTTTACTTGCAACTTATTAGAGAATAATAAATCCATTAAGTTGTAAATAAATAAATTATCTTCAAAGTGAAGAGAAATATTTTTAGCTTTTATTTATTTTCATTCATTCAACTTACAAAAAGATGCAAAAGCCTAAGCCAAACCAAACTAATCACAATTTATTATTAATGCTATTGAATTCAAATACTCCCTCAAACTGATCCCAAGCCTCAAACTCACTCAATTTAACATATAAAATTCAATATTGTTTGTTCACTACTAAGAATACAAGTTTTGAGCTCAACATTTGTGGACAATCTACTAACTCATGTTTGTTGTCCACATAATGTGGTTCATATCAAGACACCACTTGCTATCCAGTCATATACCAACACACCACTTGCCATCCAATCATATCAAGACACCACTTGCAGCAAAAATTGATGAACTGAAGCAAGAGGAAATGAAATATTATAAATTGATTTATAGAAATCTAGCAATCAAAACAAAGGAAAGAAAATAATCAAAGTGGTTCATTCATATTAGTAGAGATCAAAGAAACAAGGGAGGAACAAAATGATTTCTAACTTGAATGTGTGTTCTCATGCTTGTAGTCTAATTTTGTATTGTGAAATTAGTCGAGTATAGAAATGATAAGCCAAGTGAAAAGCTTGTTAAAGTGCTAAAAAAATTCATTACTTGAACTAGCTGACATCAAAAATCCATATCGAACAAGCCTTCCTTTTTGCTGAACTCATTCCATTTCTAATTTTGTATTTCTACCTTCCAAAAAAAAAAAAAAATCAACAATAATCTCACCTAGTTAACTACATGAACAATTTAATAAAATTGAATAGATAGGGAAAACAAGAAGAAATTCTCTCACCCACTCTCATTATTCCAACAAAGTATCAATTCATATGTGATATTCAGACGAGTAATATGACCTACAACATTACAAAGATAAGTAAATAATTTTGCCCAGATCGAAATTCGGCTCTAACTCCCAAACCGGAAACCCGATTTGAGTCTCGTCTTCTCCCACAAGTCTCTCGTGCTTAGGCGGTCGTGTGTGCCAAGTTTCGTGCTAATCTGACGTCGTTTGGTAATTTTTGGCGTCAACACTCCGCAACTCCCCTTTCTACAATAGCTTGAATAGATAATTTCAATAAAAAAGATAAAAATAGATATTTTTTTTCAACCATCTGAACCACCATTAGAGACAACATTTAAAGTTAAAAATCTAAAAGAAGACCGCTATATGGAATTCATTCAGATGCATGCTAGAGAGAGAAATAGTAAAACCAAATTGTACTTCATAAACGATTTTGGTTTGTGGTGGCAAAGCATTATACCTGAATGTGAAGAGAGAAAAAAATGGCAACTTAACGTGCTTACCTTGCCACTGTCTTTTGTCAGTTGCAAGGAACACTCAATTAAGAGTACAATTAAATGGGAGGCCACGCCACCTTCAAATCTAACACATCAAAGAAATATATAGTCAAATAACTGAATCCAATTTTACAAAAGAAATATATGATAAATCACACTAACAAAGCTTAAGCTCACCCACAGAACACCTTTTGGAGGTAACAGCATCAATACAATGATGGAGAGAGTCACATATATTTGTTAAAGCCCAAGACGTTGTGATACACACCTATTAACAGGAATTATTTACATGCATAAGATACAAACCTTAAAATGTACAGGAATGGTAAATTTCACATTTGCACACACATACAGATGAAACCAGAAATATTACCAAGACCATTGGATTGCAAGTGTTAATATGAGCAGCATGGATAAATTTACCAAGGATCTCTGCACTGTATGATTTAAATTCGTCGTAAATTTTGTCTATTCAGTAAGTACCAAACGGATTTTAACAGTTTACAATATGTCGGTATTACCTTTGATGAGTTCAGGTCACGTAATGGAGGCTTTCATATGAGAATTGAATAATTTTAGGCATCATTTGACAAACAGATGGTTGTTAATAGAAGAAGCATGATTGCTGCTAGATAACCAGTAAATGCATGTGGCAGCAGCTAGCAAAGAAACTTACTGAAATAGCCTATGTTCATTCATCACACAAACCAACTAAACTGTGCAGCCTTTGGAAGAAGTAAACCAATTCGATAAATAAAACCAGAGAACTAAGCAGAATGATGTCTGATCAAATTTTGGATAATCCTTGCTGGAAAACTAAGAAAGTAGCTAAGGAACCCACTCTGCACTAATGATAAACCAATAAAATAAGCACCAACGCCTGATCAAGTTTTAACATGCACAACGAGATGAGTGACGTGGGCACAAAAACAAAATACCAACCATAGAAACTAAAAATTCTCAAATTACATAACACTGATTTGTAGTTTCCATAATTCAAGCCCACAAATGAACGCCTAGCCAGGGTGAACATGAAATAAATCTATATGAGAATCCCAATATTGAAGGGATAGATAAATGTTCAATTCACAAGACTCTTTACAATGGGAAGGAACTTTCACTAAAAAGCTTAATCTTAAGCTGTCATGAACCGAAAGGTGAGTTGAAATTCAGATTCGGAGCAATATAAAATATTGCACCTCGGGATTAGAAGCAAGAAGAAAGAAAACTGGTCAAGATAATCTGTACAAACCAGTACACCAACATTGTAGAATACAAACACTACTGTAAAACCATTCTAATTCACACCAGAGAAAAAGGCAGGCCGAGGAAGGGGAAAAAAAGTGTCATCTAAACATTTCATCATAATTTCCGCCCTTCACAAATATACCAAGCAAAACCAGAAGGTTCACCATGCAGAAAAGAAGCTACATAGAGTGTGTTGCTGATCAACCGACTAATGCAATAGAGAAAAACTCACTTATACATTGAAACTACACCATTTTGCTAAATAGATCAAATGGCAAAACACCATATCAAGCATCTATAGAATTATTGACTAGTTAAACAACGAAGCCAAAGCCAACCAAGGTAGTTTTCAATCATGGAGCTTCTTCCACACCAAATATGGATGTCACAGCCATGCCCAAAAAAAGTCAGAAGGTTTCTATTTTCAAGACACTGACTTGAAATGAAATGCTCAGATTCACACTACACAGGGACCATACTATAGTTAGTGTTTAGATTCAACTGAGCATAAGGAGTGAGTAAGGATACTTATCAAAAATAAATAAATAACTTAAAGAAATAATAGGGAAATGAGGGAGGACAATTGTATGCAGCTGATGCACACTCAGGCAAATGCTATTGCAAATATGAAATATGTGATACTCAACATTATCTTTACCTAACTCTACTCATTCTGATATCATCTTGGCTATCTGAATTAGATGAAACCAACAATTCTGAAACTTCTTTCGCATACTTTCAAAAAAAAATTGACAGCATCCATTTTAACCCAGAGGGATGATTTCTATCGATCCTTTTTTTTTTTGCAACAAGAAGATTCTATAGCTTTACGATAGAGGGTAGACACTAAAATAAATTGAAGTAAATATATATTTTAGTATAAAAGAGATGACATAATTTTCAATGAAATTATAAAATTAAACTAAAATTTCAATTAACCCGGTAGAGCAGAGACTTGAAGACAAAGAAGAAGAAGAGCTAACCTGGTTCAGAGATTGAGAATGACTAAGAGAGTTGAAGAGAGACACGTCACACCATCGTCGTCGCTCGCCGCCGTCACACGCTGCTCGACGCCATCTCACACTGTTCGCTGCCATCGATTTGATGCTCGCCGTCATCTACCGCTGCTCACAGTCGAGAGAGAGAGTCGTAAGAAGAGATGGGGATTTTTTATAGGGTTTTTGGTTCAAAAGATTAGGGATTTTTAAGATTGGGGATTTTTGGTTAAAGGGGGGAAAAACAAGCGCGAATGAAAGAAAAAGTTAAGCGCTCAGATTTTTTTTTTTTTTTTTTCGTCAAGTTTCACCATCACAAATAAAGATTTAAACAATAAAACGACATCGTTTAACTAATTTTTTAATTGTTTTTATTTTTTTTTAATTTTGTATTTGCGACGACACCTATTACCGTCGCAAAAAATAGCTTTATTTGTGACAGCAGAGGGTTGCCGTCGCAAAAAATGCTCATTTATTTGCGATTGTAGTTGTTGCCGTTGCAAAAACTTGCTTTTTTGTGACAAGAAGTGGTGCTGTCGCTTAAACCTGATTTATTGGCGACGGCACTTGCCGTCGCAAAAACTCACTTTTTGCTAATGTAAGTGGTGTCGTCGCAAATGCTTCCATGTTATATGCCCCATTTTCTTGTAATGAATGTCTAACAAAGAATATACAGGCAAGTGCAGTGCTACATACAAGGTACAAAAAGAGAGGTATTTGTTGAAAATTTGTTTGTTCTAAACTAATGAAAAAATAAACAAAAAAACATATAAATGTTATGGATGAAACAGGTCAAACACAACTAAAGCAAGAAGGTTATTACGATTTATATTGGCCCCTCACATTAGCCTTTCCAGGTGTGAGCCATTTGACACGTACCCAAGTAGCATAGTTATCAGAATCCCAATCCGGATTGTAATCCTACGATTTCAGTTATGCCAAACGATCCAGATCACACTAGATCATAAATTTCGTAGGATCTTAAAGCTACTACGATCCTATTCACAAATCTATGTAAAATCGCATAAGATCCTAATCCTACAACGATCCCGATCCTAACAATTTTTTTTTTGTTATTTATTTCTTATATATATATGTATATGTATATAAAAAATTGACTATAAATGTGTACATAAATAAATTGACTAGAATCGCATAGATATATGTGTATATCTATATAAAAAATTTGACTATAAACACTTTTTTCAAATGTCTCTTCTAATAGATGTTAACATAAAAGAAACATTATATCAAATTTATCATTTTTCTTTAATATTTTTAATATTACATAACATATATTATGATTATCGATAATTTTTCATTTTATTGTACATTGAAAGTAGAATCTTACGATCCTCGATCCAAATTTTACCATCTGATCCACTAGCCTCTTCCAACGATCCCACATAGGATCCCGATTTTAACAACTTTGCCAAGAACCTATATTGCATGCAGCTGGTCTCTTTTCTATTGAACGAAGACGGTACTCTCTACTCACCCTCCAATATTCACTAAGAGACTAATATTCAAAAAGAGACAGTACTCATGTCTCAGTTTTTTTTTTGTTCTCTACTGCTGATAAATTTAAGATTTCATAATATTTTTAATTGGAGCAAGTTCATTCCAAGATTCCAATAACAAAAAATTCAATAAAAAAAAAAACACAGCCATTATCAGAAATGATTAAGACCCTAACTCAACACAAAATAAGTCTGTTGTAGTGTTGGCTTTGGGCCCATTAATCCAGCTATAGCCTATAGTTAGAAAATTACACATCAAATTTGTCCAGATAATGCAAAGGCATATTCAATGAAGAGGAAGCTTTAACCAACGGATACACATTCATCTATAAAAAAAATTAAGTGTGTATCACAAAGAAAGGCAATTAGAAACAAAAGCATCATCTAATCAAGCATTCATTAATAGGAATACAAAAAGTACCTGAAGCAGACTCGCTCTTAATCTGAATCTCATTCTCTTCAATTGGTGTGTATGCTCTTGGTTTCCATCTTCTGCCCTCAAAACATCTGATAGATAAGTAAGGACATAACAATTCACCAAACTTTCATAGCTGGCATTCACTAAAGTAGAAACCAATAACAAAATTTGTCATGTAAAACTCTTGAAAGGGCCACAAACTACTTTCACCAAAACAAAATTGGCAAATAAAAAGTAAAAACAAAGAAGTCATAGTCAACAATGTCTTGAAATCTATGACCAACAATTTAATTCAAAAAAAATAGGCATTTGTCTAACCTATAGTCACTGCAGTCATTCAAGCTTAACCTGATAGAGGCAACAACAATGATCAAATTGAGAAAGAATACACACACACACACACACACATATATATATAGAGAGAGAGAGAGGGAGAGGCCAAACTTGCTAAAGAGTGATGTATAGATAAGTAAGGACATAACAATTCACCAAACTTTCATAGCTGACATACACTAAAAGTAGAAACCAATAACAAAATTTGTCATGTAAAACTCTTGAAAGGGCCACAAACTACTTTCACCAAAACAAAATTGGCAAATAAAAAGTAAAAACAAAGTCATAGTCAACAATGTCTTGAAATCTATGACCAACAATTTAATTCAAAAAAAATAGGCATTTGTCTAACCTATAGTCACTGCAGTCATTCAAGCTTAACCTGATAGAGGCAACAACAATGATCAAATTGAGAAAGAATACACACACACACACACACACATATATATATAGAGAGAGAGAGAGGGAGAGGCCAAACTTGCTAAAGAGTGATGTCGTTCATAAATAAAAGTTTTCCAAACATACACACACACGTATACACAAGTAAATCAATAACAAATTGTAGAAGAGGTAATAATTTGAAAACAAAATAGCAAAAACAATAGCAAACCATTCAAAATTTTAGTCAAAAATCAAAGAATGTAGCCTATTCAAATCCATAACCCAACAAAAAAAACTCAAAAATATTAACATTAACATACACTACTAATGAAAAACATAGAAAATAAAAAATAAAAAAACCTAAACAATTACGATAAATGTGACAATGTTTATCTATTATGACCATTCAATTACCTTGAAGTCCTGAGCAATTTCACGGACAAGCCTTTTCAATGGAAGCTTCCTGATCAGGAGCTCAGTACTCTTTTGGTACCAGCAAATTTCACTACATATCAATAAAGATAACAAAGAATCTGAAAAACATAAGAATTGTTATAAATATAGTAACCATAATTCAAGCTTTAATTCACTGGGTAGAGAAGAATTTACTTGCCTAAAAAGGTGACTTCCTAGTTGTAAGAAGGGCTACCAAAAAAATTGTTTTATTCAGAAGAACAGAAAAAAATCAGTGAACTCAACACTATCATGAAGAGCCAAAGGCAAGAAATTTGCTTCAAAAACTATGAAATATAGCAGCTAAGGATTTGCAAACCATCATTTAAAAACCAATATAACCAATGCTGTGAAGCCACAATCTAACAAAAGCTGAGTTACTATTGAAGCAACACTATATATAACATTTTTTTATTTGATATTTTGTGAGAAAAATCTAAAAAATAGCAAACTACTGAAGCAACATTGCTAAACTCTAGTATTTTGTCGTTATTCGTTACTAAAATATAGTAATAACCATATTGCGTGGACAATTTGGGAAAACATAAATCAAAAGAAATTAGCAACAACCAAGACTCCAAGATATTATCCTTGAAAGATAAGAAGAATATAAGATACATTAATTTTCATGATAGCTGGAAAAGAAAGCTGCAAGTTAAAGAGGGGCCAACATTGATATATCTCTAACATTGGGTTGGTTACTTAGGTTGGTTTGAAGGTATAAATCACTCACAATGCAATTGTAGCTATATGCAAAATGCAATTCTATCCATCATCCCATCCATTAGAAAACAAAAAAGATTTCTAAAGTTCTAGAAAAACAAACCAAGCACACTTGCTAGTGTTATTGCATTGACCCCACACAAAATAAATAAATAAAAATCCAAAGAGAATGAAAACAGAGAAAACACATGGGTAAATTTCTTTAAAGTATGAAAAACAAACCCAAAATAACCCAAAATAGAATACACAAATCTATAGAGCAATGAAAAATAACCCAAAAAAAAACATTCCAATTCAGATAAATCATTCACAAACAAACCCAAAATAACCCAAAACAGAACACACAAATCCATAGAGCAATGAAAAATAACCCAAAAAAAACATTTCAATTCAAATAAATCATTCACAAACAAACCCAAAATAACCCAAAACAGAGCAATGGGAAAAAAAAAAAAAACTAACTAACATGGGGTACTTTCTCAGTAGAGGAAGAGAACCACCACAAAACAACTCCATTGAGGCTCTTACAATCTTCAAAATCTTATACCTGCAAAATAAAATAAAAAAGATAATCAAAATGAGTTACCCAAACATAATCATACCTAGTTGTGGGCTAAGCTAGAGTTAGGAATTGATGGAAATGAGGATTCATTGTGATGGTGGGTATTGGGAGACGCCAAAGAATGAGTGAATGAATGAGGGGGAGTTATGAGCTGAGAAACACACACACACACACACAGGACTGATGAGAGTGTCATCTGATGAGAGAGAGAGAGAGAGAGCAAAGAATGAGTAGTGATGAGAGTGTAAACTTCAGACAGGATTTGAGTTTTGAATTTTGAACTCATCTCAACTTGAGCCCTGCAATTGAAGCAAATAATGAATTTGAGACGTGAAAGATGGATTCTCTCACATACAGTTTAAATTTGTAACATAATGGCGGAAAGCTGAAGGAAAGAAAGACGAAGTTATCTCAACCATTGAATCAAATGTCCATATAGGATAACCATCCCATCAGCCCCCTTGTTTTGTTATATATATAAATCAAGAATAAATTATAAATGCTTTGGAACAAATTCATTGCAAGAGATGGTCAACAACTTTTATCAATTCTACTACTATTTCGTAAAGAAGTTTCAGATATTAATCACTTGGTTTCAACATTTAAATAAAACTTAAATCACTATTTTAAGGAACTTAAATCACTATAAACCTTCCCCAAACTATGAACTATTAAATCAATGCATTGGAAACCCACTTCTTGTAATGATATTTGGAGGATTCAATCCAAAGCATCATACCAAACCAAAACAAAAAATAATAATAATAATACTAATAATAATAATAATAAATAAAACTGAAAACCTGAAACCAGATTACCCCTTTACCCTTAACCATTAATCAAGAGGTTTTAAGATGATTAATGTTTGTTTTGGTGGACTAATTGCATAGATTTTTTCTGTTGTGAGGTGCCTTGTTAGTCATTTTCCTCTTGTTCAAATAATATACAAAACCAATCATACATAAGAAATTACACACATTATAGCAGTGCAAGTCAATAAATTGATTAAATAGACTACAACATGAGACCCAAATTCTTAGTTCTCACTAGGTTTTTTTTCCAATAATTCACGTGTACATCCAACATAAATATAGTGTGTTTAACTGAATTTGCAATTGATCAAAGAAACATAAATGTGAAGTACCAACACAAAACATTCCTCGAATTACAAAATCTTGAAATTAACATATACCTAGAACGAAATATGGTGGCTAAGAGAGCGAGAGAGAGAGATTAGGGCCCGATGGCAGGAAGCAAGAGAGGATGTAGAGGGAAAACAAAAGCAATGGAAAGCGGGCTTACCGGTGGGATTGGCTGGCGGTAGCGATGGGCCGTGCGAATGTGGGGACTGTGGGGGTTCCGCTGTATTCAGAGAGACAGTGCCAAAGGTGGCATGGTGCGGTAGTGATTACAGGGCGGTGAAAGTGTGTGAGGTAGAGATTGCTAAGAGAGGGAGTCGATTTGTGAGAAATTAGGGCAGAGAATAAGATCCAAAGAGAAAGAGGGAGATAAATCAACTTACCTGGTGAGGATGAAATAGTCCAAGTTCGTGAATCGGCGGCGTCGACTTAGGATTTTAGGCGGTACAATGGTGTACGGGGAGCAAATATTTCAGCGTGCCCGTATTCCTTTCTTCCGAGCTCCGTCGATGTCCGATCACCTGCGAGCAAGTAATGGTGAGCTACCCGGCGGTGTATGGCCGGAAAAACCCTCCGACGGTCAAGTTAGCACACACCTTAGGATGGATCGAGAGAAGGGAGAGAGTGCTTGAGTGTAAGAAGTCCTTACAGATATGTTCTTGTGTCGCGTATGGGGGGCGCAGACATGCTTATATACCTTCTGAGTCCCATATCCACTCCCAGTCATCTCCTGACACGTGGCTCTTCTATCCCATCTGTCAGCGTAAACCTTGCCGATCATCACCTAATCTCAACTGCCTGACTTCACAGCTGGAGCTCGGCAGCCGAGCTGCTCTATCACGGCCGCGCCATGCTTCATATTCCAGCGCCTAACCGGGTAAACACATGGAGCACCGGGCTAGGGGGCATCCCGGCAGAGCCTTGCCCGGGTACCTCCTTTGGTCGGCCTTCCTGCCGGTCAAACAGTTTTCTCGGTTGACCACGCCTTTCCGGGCGCCGGTCACTCAGCTTGTCTGGCTTCAGCCATCCTCGGACCGAGCATCCTGGTCTGACCGAGCACTGCCTTACCGAGCTGCTTCTTTACGGTCGGGCGGGACGCACTCGGCCCAAGTTCTGCCCGGCCCGAGTTCTGGCAGCCCTTCTCTGGTCGAACAGTCGATCATCTCGGCCCGATGCACTGTTGGGCTCTCAGCCTGCTCGGTCGATACATCAGCCCAACTCCAGATCATAAATCACCCTCTCAGAAGAGATCCACAATATTATTTTTTGATATCTAAGGTCCCTAAACCCACACTCATCTATCACAGAAAAATTTGATATATATATCTCTCTCTCTCTCTCGTCGATCTCAAAGACGAGATCACTCCGTTCTTATCCTAATCATATAGCTCGAAAGCATCCTTCAGCCCTGCACTCTTCGAGACTGATGAAGCCGTCGAGGTCGGTGTCAAGCTCCTCCATTAACTACTCTTTTATTAATGATTATTATTTATTTTGGTCCAGGTTCACTGTAGCTTAGCATCTTCCCAACGGAACAACGGGGCTTCAATTGAGTAGTTACTTCGAAATCAATCCTACTTTTTCTGATTTTGTTGTGAAATTGCAGCATCATCATTAAAATCCATTCGTTTTTGTTTTTCTTCATTTTCTATTTCGCAATCTCTCTCTACCTATTTCAATGGCGATTTCGGATGAATCAGCAGTAGATTCTGAAATTTCCCTGCCATATATATTCGGATCCGTCATAATCAGAGGCACCTTCAACCGATTACATGACGGTCACCGTATTTTCCTCAAAGTTCTCTTTATCTCTCTCTTTCTCTCTATATACATATATCTGAAAATGTATTTGATTAAGTTGGTATTTACAAAAAGCAGCGAAATTGGCTAGGGATCGCATTGTGGTTGGAGTTTGTTATGGGACCATGTTGACTAAGAAACACATATTTTTAACATCTTTGCGCTCTATGTGAATCCATGTTTGTTGATTACTTACTGGGTGATTACTATAAATTGCTCATTGTTTCACTTCACAATTTTCTCTGGATAGAGCCACACAATACCATACAAATTTTCTCTTACACAATTTTCTCTAAATAAAGCCACACAAGTTTTCTCTACACAAATTTTCTCTCCACAATTTCTCTGCGAAGTCCAAAGAAAATTCGTCCAGAGAAATTAAAAGCTTGTTGTTACAATCCAAAGAAATTATAATTATTACAAATTTCTCTAAACTTTTATGTTGTGTGTTTTTTATGTATTTTTATATTGAACAAGTTATTTTTCGTCTATTTTTCTTGTGAGTTTCTTAGAACTCTTTGATCATTTATGGTTTATATAGCTTAATACATGTTATGTTGAAGAGCTTGAGAGAGAAATGCTCGCGGAGAGATTGTTTGAATATGATCAAGTCTGTTGAATTTCTCTGAGAAGTCCAGTCCAGAGACATTTGGGTAGCGGTTGGTAGAGCTTTCTAAATATGAATTGAGAATAGGAGTTGTATTTTGGATTCCCAGAATTTCTCTAGAGTTGTGGCTGTGTTTTTTTTCTCTTTTCTTTGAGCTGTTGTTGACTCAAGTGAGATCATAGGTGGCTAGTTTGCAGTTGTGAACCAGAATTTCTCTGTGAAATCCAGAGAAAATCTCTGTGAACCAAAATTTCTCTATGAAGTCCAGAGAAAATTCGTCCAGAGAATCTCTAGAACGAATTTTCTTTGGATTGAAGTTGAGAGACCTTAGTCATTATGGAAATATTAAGTGTCCTTTATGCTATAAAATCTTAATACCAGTTACCTTAAAAAAAATCCCTATTTTTAATTGTCATAAATAAATAATTGAATATCCATAACGATTGTCCATCACCATACAAACTCTGTCTCATGACAATCCAACACCATGCAAACTTTGTCTCATGATTGTCCATCACCATTGTTGTGGCAATAAGATTTTAGATCTACTGACAGTCATTTAGATCCATCACAAGCCTTTATTTTTTTTTCTACTTTTCTCTTTATGTCTCTTTGTTTCTATTTTGTCAATAGAAAACTAAAAATTTGTAAAGGCAATTGTCAAAGGGTTCAAAACATACTTTTCTCTTATTGAACTCGTGATTTTTCTGCAATTCTATGTTACTGTAGGCCTCTCTTCCACTATACGGAAATGTCCCACACCCCCTATATTATTTGACCTTCCTAAAGCTATCATGAGGTATCAATTTACTTCTCTCCACTGAAACTAACATAAAGTCTCACTTTATCTCTCTCCCTCTGAAACTATCACGAAGTATTACTCTACTACCTAAATTATAAAATGATAAAATTAAACCCTTCAATAAATATACTAATTTACTCGTTATTCCGTCTTTGGCATTTAATTTTATATGTTCTACTCATTTACTAGAATTTCACTTTGCTAATAGTTAAATTACACCTAAACATTAAGGCTAAATTTCACTATTTGAAGATAATGAAATAATTATTACTATCAAGCTTTAATTAAATAATATTAAAATTTTGGTAATTACACACATTATAGAATTAATTAGACAACAAATTAATTAAGAAAATGAAATTATCGTTAGCTAATTTAAAATATAGTGACAATCACTTGTTGCTCCAACAAATCCATTGACGGCATCTCTCTTTAACTCATAAGTTTTCCATTTACTCACTAGTTCGTCTTTGCCTTTAATTTTATAATTTTTAGTTCTTAAGTAGAAATTTCATTTTTTAATAATTTCACCTAAATATTAAGGTTAAATTTCACTATTTAAAGATAATGAAATTTCACTAGTTGAAGTGATGGTATGTTTTATGTTAACAATGACAATGATAATGAAGGTGGTGGT